TTCTTGCAATACTTTTGCATCCAGCTAACGGCATCTTATTTTGTCTTTGATCTATTAATGAGAAGCCCAGACATGGTTTGTATTAGGGTTACGATGCCGCTGTTTAACGCCGGAGCCGAGGGTTATTTTGCTGCCCAGCGATCGGTGAGTCTTCCAATATCGCCCTCATCCATCCGGTTGACGGGTATTTGTCCAGCCTGAGAGACTAAAATGCCAAAATGCACGCTTATCGTCGAAGTTGTCTGGTCTGCACGTTTTTGCTCACCTAAACAACGATTATCGATCGTCCGTGGGACATGGTGTTTTACCCGTCATGTAAACAGCCGAGTCTCCTGATTGGTCCATGTAACATCACTCCAATTTTCAGATTTACTGCACCCGTGCATGCCAGATAGCCTTTGCGTAACTGTGGTTTTCGAGGACCGATCGCAGGAACTGCAGCGTCGGGTCAGAACGCCCGCGGTTTCAACAGCAGATTTAACAGGCGCGCCAACGTAAACGGTCAGAAGGTGTCGCGTAAATCATAGCTGTGGGCGACAGTAACTGCAGCTGTCACGCGCTCGACACCTGATTGGCTGTTCCCGGACGGATTAGCATCACTTATACGAGGGACGGACTGTCGAAACGACCGTGATCTGAGTAAACCGTTGGGGCTGAGTGGATGTGAGACAAATTACTGTTTACCACGTTCTATCGACCCAGTCGGATGTAGAAATGCGAATGAATTGCATGCGAGTTGACGCTTTAACTAAGGCTAACAGAAGTGCCCTCGCCATAATCACGAGCCAACAACACCAGGTGTAGATAAAAGGATTACTGTTTCCAACAGGGACATCATACTGATCGTCCCGACAAGGTTACGACGCGAAGAGCAAAAGCAAGCGAGAGAGAGAGAGTGTGTGTGTGTGTGAGAGAGAGAGAGAGACTGACGTAAAAACTGCTCCGAGCTAATGAAGTTCCCAACTTCGGCCGAATAGGGGACTTTGACGCGACCAGGTTGGCTGCTCCAGGAGAAGAGCCTCTCGCCTACTGCACGCCTGTCGAAAGCTGTCAGACGAATCCAGTGCAGGCATAACCGGTGGATCTTTCTTTATCAGCATCTGAAACGCAAGTTTAGTACAGTAGGTGGGCTAACTCATGAAATGTCAATCGAAATTCTGAAATGCGTTTCCGTTTCGAAAAGAGTAATTAAGTAGCAAGTAGTAGTAGTAGTAATTAAGCAAGCAACCGGCCTCCAGTACTTCCTGAACTAGCAGGACGACCATCGTAGACCTCACAAACTTAGAAGGAGGACTGAATCGTCTGGCCATCAGGCATGGGATTGCTGCCGGTTAAATGGTCGGCAACCACGTTCTCTGGTAGGGCCCCCAAACAATGACAATGCGACAAATGGTCTTGTTTTCGTTAACACTACCCGCAACACAACTACGTTATTAATTTATACGACGTCGCGGTTACCGCGCATGAGATTAATTATGCGTAGTGGGTTATCCACTAACGGACCACGGGATGAAATACCCACTGTCGGTCTCACAAGCTCTTCCCTATCCCATATACTAGTCAACTGTCCGAGCCTGTTAGTTAACTGGTGATGACATCGGGCGAAATGACTGACAAGACTGAATGGCTCTTGAAGAAGGAGACACGATCGCTGGGACAAGAGCTTTATTAGCCTGACATTTCGGATTCCTGCTCGAACCCATCATCAGAGACAAAGCAGATACGGCTTTGTCGGAGGCCCGCGCGATCCGGACTTAGGTTTCTTGTAACAGCCCAGCCCGCTTTGCGGGCTCTTTTATTTTCCAAATTTTTGATAGCCTATTCAAACCCGTTCGCAGATGGGGGAAATAGGGCAGTAGTATTTACAGAATGTGAAGTCACTCAGTGACGATTGGCAGATCGCGTCTGAGTCAAGCCGTCCTCACCGGTCTTCGTAACTGGCGCGATAAGGGCTGGACAACCGTGTCTATTAAGCTCGTCACCCAACTTGCTATTCATTCATGCGTTCCCTGGCGG